GATTTTTTGATTTATTGTAGAGATGAGGTCTCACTGCCCAGGCGGGTCTCGAACCCGCATGCTCAGGCAATCCACTCATCTCAGCCTCCCAAAGGCGCGGGATTACAGGCTGAGCCACCAAGCCCAGCTGCTCTAAATTTTAAGCCAGTAGAGCAAATAACCTATCTCTTATAATGTTCCAAAAATATAGATTCAGGTTAGTTAAAGATCAAAGCAACTGACATGAACTTTTCATAAACATGACTAATTTAATTAAAACTAAAAAATAATACCAGATAAGATATAACTAGGAGAACAGAAAGGAGAGGAAAAAAAACATAGACAGCATGTGAAAAAAAATATTAAAGAAGAAAAGTGATGTTTTAGAGATGCTGAGGTCTAAAAAGAAGAATATGAATAAAGAAGTTTAGAACTTAACAATAACTGGCTCAAAAAAAAAAAAACAAAGAATACCTATAAGGGAGATAAAGAGGCCCTCTGTGTCCATGAAAGGGGATGTTCATTTCATTCAACATTTATTCAACATCTAACAGTTTATTTTCTCAATGAAAAGGTAATGCTATATATTTAAATGGAAGTGAGCAATCTGACCCTATCATAAGTTGTTATAAAATATATAAGGAGGGGAATGAAAATAAAGATCTCTATTTAAAAAGAAAAAAAGACTAGTAAAATAGCAGGTTATCATCCAAAAATCTAAGTTTAAATCCGAACATTTCCAGGACTTCTTAATTCTGTTCTATCATAATATTGCAAATAAAATCACTTTAACTTCATAAAATGATTACTTCCTTATCTGCATCAGGTCAAATAAGTCTGATCAAAAATATCTACAACCTCAGAAACAGAAAGTAACAAACTGCCCACTACAAGGTATCTATAAGGTTTTATCATTTATTTTAGCATGTTTTTATTTAATCTCTTAAAATGTTAAGCACAGATGGGAATGTAGACTAGTACAACCTCTTTGGAAGACAGTATGACTATTTCTGAAAGAACTAGAAATTGACCTTCCATATGACCCAGCAATATACCCAGAGGAATATACCCGGAGGAATATATACCCAGAAGAATTCAAATTATTCTACAAAAAAGAGACCTGCACACTTATGTTTGTTGCAGTTCTACTCACAATAGCAAAAACATGGAACCAACCATGTTGCCCATCAAAGCTGGACTAGATTTTAAAAATGTGGTACATATATACAATGGAATATTATGCAGCCATAAAGAAGGACAAATACATGGACTTTGCGGCAAATTGGATGGATTTGGAGTCGATCATACTCAGTGATTTATCACAAAAACAAAGAATGGAGTTCCATATGTTCTCACTCTTAAGGTGACCTTGAACAATTATAATGCTATAAGAAAGTGACTGGCAGTAGCAGAAATCTGTCAGGGGAAGGGGGTGGTGGGACTGGCAGTTGAGGGAAACTGTCAGGGGAGGGAGGCACATACCTCATCAACAAGGGTACCTATATGATCAATGTTTGTAAACACTGAGTTGTATCCCACATCTTTATAATAAACAAATACATTTGAAAAAAAAATGTTAAGCACAAACATAACTGAAAAAATTTGCCTTATTACTCATGTGAATTGGGAACTTAAAAGAGTACTAACAAGGAGTGCATTAAAACATACCTGGTTCATTATAGCCTTCTCTTAAGTACTGAATAAGACAAAAAATAAATCTTGGAAGAACAAACTCAGACATCATCAGTAAGTCTTTGGGAACGCAGGGAATATTTGAACTTGATTTAATTTGATGCCTTTTGCAAAACCTGTAATGTGAAAAAGAAAAAAATTAATAGTGACGTCTTATCAGCAAAGAATATATTACTTCTATTTACAATATTAATAAACAGGATGCAGGTCAATATCAAAGCCAATATAATCCTTCGTTATAATTTTTAAGGTACTAAGTTAAAAGAATACACTTTCAACTGGTCTTTAAATCAAAAAATGGCATTCAGGAAGATTTTTCCTAATAAAAGACCATACTAGTTAAATTCCAACTAGAATACAAAAAGAAAATTTCATTACAGGATTTTTTCTGGCTGAAATGTATTACTTTCCAGTACTGTTTTATTAATTACACCCTTTATAAATCATTAAGTACGAATTTATCATTTCCAAAAAATTTACATTTTCCATTAATTCAATTGTTTATAACTTATTGCATTAATGAATTAATAAGTAGTATAAATACTTAAAGTTTATTTTAAAAGTTTATACACTTAAGTGTATACATTTTTTTTACTCTGGTTTATATTAAATTTCAAGTATGACTGGTATACTTGAGCAAAACTGAAGTAAATTATTCCACATTCACATTCAAATAATCACAAATAAGTTATTTTGTGTTTAAAAATATAAAATGTCTAGAAATAAACAGGAAGAATGCAGAAGTTATTTTAAAAGGTGAAAAATATAAAGAGCTGAATAAATCAAGAAAGGTAACAATCCTAAATGGAAAGACCTATTAAAAAAAAAAAAAAAGGCAACTTCTCTCAAACTTAATGCCATTAGATTTAAATTCCAATGGAATTAATCACAAATTAATTCTAAAGCTCAAATGAAAGATCATATTTGTGGAAAATATTATTAAAACTTGAAAAAATATGAATGATAATAAACTAGACCTAAAAACATAGAATAAAACCATTTTAATTAAGACTGTGGTAGTGTGATATTTTCAATGGATCACAATTAAGTCCAGAAAAAGAATATACAAATTTGTGAATTTAATATAAGTGTAGCATCTCGATCCAATGTGGTAGAGAAAGACCTAATAAATTGCTGTAGGACAAAATTGATTATTTAAATACAGGAAGTAAATTTGATTCCCACCTTACACCATACACAAAATATATTCCATATACATTAAAAATCAAATGTGAGAAAAGAACCTGGAAGAAATTAACTATTATCCTATATTATCTCAGAATAGAGAAAGCCTAACCAAGTAAGACTTAAAACCAAAAGTCACAAGTAAGAAAAAATGTACTATATATGTCAAAAGCTTCTATGCAAAAAACAGTAACAAACTGGAAAAATACTTACAACTAATGAAAGCTAAAAGATTATTATCTATAATTACAAATTCTCAAAGACAGATTTTAAAAATAATAGAAAAATCAAACAATGCCATAAACAATTCATAAAAGAAGTAATGAATACCCAATAAGCATGAAAAAAATGCTCTAGTTTTCTAATAGTCAAAGCAATCAATTTTATTAAAATAAGAAATGAATAACTAGAAAATGAGGCTGGGCACAGTGGCTCATGCCTATAATCCCAGCACTTTGGGAGGCTGAGGTGAGAGGACTGCCTGAGCCCAGGAGGTCGAGACCATCTCTACAATAAATCCAAAAATAGCCAGGAGTGGTGGCACATACCTGTAGTCCCAGCTACTTGAAAGGCTGAGGCAGAAGGATCACCTAAGCCCAGCAGGTTGAGGCTGCAGTGGCCAAGAGCATGCCACTGCACTCCAGCCTGGGTGGCAGAGTGAAACACCAAATCAAAAAGAAAAAGAAAAAAAAAGATCATATCTGCAGAAATAACTGACCCATGTAATGGAGCCATTAGAAGACAGCTTGAGGAAAATTTTTTCCAATTAGGGATCAGACTATTACACCCTTATCAATTTTAGTATCACCAGAAGTGAAAAAAAAAGCAGACCCTGTGATGCATGTGAACCATATAGCACCATTTATGAAATGCTGAACTTGAATGACACCAAGTCTCTAGAGCTAATTTCCATTTACAAGAAGTATGGAAGGTAAAGGAACAAGTTAAATGACCAAAAAAAAAACAAAAACAAAAACAACAAAAAGATAATGGAGAATGTCGAACATTATACAGAACAATTGACTCTGTCAAACAATCTGTCAGTGGCAGGACGGTGAGAAAAGGTAGAAGGGCTACTCTAGGTTAAAAGAGGCTAAAGAGGTCCAAAAAAATCACCTCTAATATGTAAATCAATCCTAACAAACCAATTCCAAGAGGTGTTTTGCAGACATCTGGGAAATTTGATTATAAACTAAGTACTAGTTCATTACAATTAATTTTATGGCCTTGTGGTAGGACAATGCTCATGGTTATTTCATAATATTAAGGAATTATTTTGTGTGAATGTGACAATAACAGCACTGTGATTATCAATGAAAAGTTAAGTTTTTGTTTTTTAGATTACACGAAGAGAGAGAGAAATATTTAGAGATGAAATGCTATAAAATATGGAACTTGCTTCACAATAATCTGGTGAGATAAAGGGAACTAGATGAGAGTATACAAAGACCAACTATGATTGTTGAAACTGGGGGATGAATACAAGGGTTTTTATTATGCTATGTTCATTAAACAGAATGTAGATCACTATCATAGCCAATAAAATACTCCTTTTTTATTTTTATTTTCTTGAGTTGGAGTCTCACTCTGCCACCCAGGCTAGAATGCAATGGCACACTCACAGCCACTGCAGCCTCAACCTGCTGGGCTCAGGTGATCCTTCTGCCTCAGCCTCCCAAGTAGCTGGAACTACAGGCAGGACATACCACGTCCAGCTAATTTTTTTTTTGTATTGTAGAGTTGCCCAGGCTGGCTCGAACCCGTGGGATGAGGCAATCCTCTCACTTCGGCCTCCCAAAGTGATGGGATTATAGGCGTGAGCTACCATGCCTGGCCCCTTTTATATTTTTAAGTCGCCAATTTAAAAGAATGTAGTTTAAATTTGTCTTTAAGTCGAATATGACACTGAGGGAATTTTTTCCTAATAAAACCATACTGGTTAGGTTCATTTTGTTCACTGCTTGTATATATCTTTGAAATTTTCTATACTAAAAAGCTAAAAATTTAAAAAAGAAAATATCCATATTTTTTAAAGATGAATACTGCAGCATGTCAGGATGAAATGACATGATTTTGGAGATTTGCTTTAAAATACTTCAGCAAAAGAAGAAAAGAGCAGTTGAAGCAAATGTGGCAAAAATCTTAATATATGTTAAGTCTCGGTGATGAGCATGAGAGGCTGATGTTCTGTTGTATTTACTTTTCTGTATATTTGAAAATTTTCAAAATGTAAAAGTCATTTTTTCACCTTACAGATTAGAAAAGATGCACTTTACTAATTCACTATTGGACATATGATCAGAATTTTTTGTTATCATATATATGACAGTATAAGCTGGTCCAGTTTTGGGTGGCACTTTGACAATATCACTTTGACTTAGCATTTCTATTTCTATTTCTATTATACAGAAAATACTCCCAAATTTGCGGGAAAAAAAAAACAAACACAAAGATGTTCGTTGTGCCAGTTTACAATGCAAAAAAGTTAGAAACAATTCTTGTCCTCATTAAAAGAAAAACGTTAGCCGGGCTCAGTGGCTCAGCCCGTAATCCCACCCTTTGGGAGGCTGAGGTGAGTGGATTGCCTGAGTCCGTGGGTTCGAGACCCACCTGGGCAACTTGGCAAGACCTCATCTCTACACCAAATTTAAAAAAAAAAAATAGCCGGGCGTTGTAGCGCGCACCTGTAGTTCCAGCTACTTGGAAGGCTAAGTGGAAGGATCACCGGAACCCAGCAGGTCGAGGCTGCGGTGGCCAGAAGCGGCCACTGCACTCCAGTCTGGGTGACAGAGTGAGACTCCAACTCAAAAAAAAAAAGAAAAGAAAAGAAAAGAAAAATGTTAACAAAACTATGGTAGATCAATGAAATACTCTGTGTTTCTTTAAAAAAAATGAGGTAGATCAATAAGCACTCTAAGTAAAATCATATCTAAGATATATTGAGAAAAGCTATTCATAGGATTATACACAATCTCTTTTTTAAATAAAATTTTGGAGAAAGAAAGAGAAATGTTGATATATTAAAATATGTAGGGAAATGTGCACTAAATTTGGTGGAAATTAACTGGAAGTGGAATATGACATATTCTACTTTTTACATTAATATCACTGTAACATTTGAATTTTGTATTAACAAACATATGTATAACTTTATAATCAAAAGGAAAAAATTTAAACCAAAAACAAACAGTAATAAGTTATGCCATACATTTGGTTTTAGTTTTACAATTTAAAGCATTAATTAGTATCATTTTTTGGCTCATAGACCCTTTTGAGGATCTATTGAAAGATACAACTCTTGAAAAAAAAATATACATACACACAAAATAAAACATTTAGAGTGTACACACTCTGCTGAAATCTATCTACCCTTAAGGTAGTGCTTCCTAGTGTTAGGTCAGTAAATGACAGTGTAGAGAGAAGAATTTCCTCAGTTCTCAAGGCAGACAGACAGGCTGAGCCTGAGCAGCCACCTCAGTTGCCTCGGTGTCCTATTTATATATCATTTTCCATATCTACCATATTATGAAAAAGGCTAAGCAGCATTAAACCTTAGGATTCAAACCTTGACTTGAAGGAAAAACTGAATTTAAGAACTTCTTCCTGCTGAGGCACGCAATATCTAAAACAAATTCAGGAAATTGTTTAAATGCTACCAAGTCTACAAAAGATTTTGAAGATAAAGGAGAACCTGGCCTGTGTGACAGATTAGACAGTCAGTGGTGATCTAAGATAATTTAAAGAGCCTATAAGTATAAATGTGAAAGAGGAAATGGATGAAAGGAAAGCCAGGACAAAAGATTGGGAAAACATACTGGGCACAAAAACTGAAAGATGCAATGAAAGACTTGTGAGCTGAAAAGCAAGATGAGAAAGGATTAAAAAGCACAGAAAGCTCTCTTGGACACTTTCTGCGTGGTAAAGAAACCAA